TTTTGGTACAGTAATTTAAGATAAATGGGAAGTTCTGAAGAGCACCAGCTGTCCCAAGTTGAATGTTTAATTGATCCAGGTAAATTATTGGTTTTGTTCATTGCTTTTTAGGTGAAGAATACATATTCTAGTTAAAAAGATAACTGAACTGAACTAACTTAAAAAAAATTAACTGTTATAAAAATTCAAAATTTCTGTCCTAGATAAATTATTTAACAAAAACCAGCTATCTTTTGCATCTTTTTTAAACAACTTAGCTCAGCGTCATCATCACCACAGACCAAAACAACGTGTTCTATGGAAACAACGTCCCTGCCACTAAGCTTTGTGTTTTGATATCTCAACAAATAACAGTATTAAATGAAAAGGAAGAATAGTAAACATTTAAAAATCTTGAAGATGGGTTTAAACTAAGAGTATTTACTAAGAGTATTTTTACGTAAAACTTCTCTTATTTAAGCAAAGCTATAACCCTTATAGTTGCCGAGGTTCCAAAACATCGAGATAAAATTTGGGACACCGTGTATTCAGTGAAATGTGTCAAATATTCATAGCCACCCGGATATAAAAAAAAACTGAATGGCATGTAGGTAACTCTTTTAATATTAAACAACTCTTAAGACAACGACACTTATTTTAAATAAATCAGCATATTAATAATTTCAAGATATAAGTAATGTAAAGACAATATGTCAGTCAACGTATAGTAAGTAATATTTAATAGGTTAGAGGCTTGTAATTGAGTGTTATATTATACCAAAGCCTTTATTGTATTTACGAACATGCATAAATACACACTGCTATTTTTCTTTGAAGCATTCTCTAATAATTAGGTTTAATATTTTATTGAACTACATAGTGATACCTGTATATGAATCTAGCAGAGACGATAGTGTAAAAACTTCTAAAAAATTAAATAGAAAAATTAATAGAATCCAAATAACGGATATGCGTTTAAATAAATATTTTTTTTAAAAAGGAGGACCTTTCTTTTAACTTAACTCAATTGGAGAAAAAAGAACCTTGTTATTTACTTTAACAAATAGAAATATCTTTTGAATAAAGCACTTGTGACTTCATTAGTAGCTAATATACAGGGTGTCAATTTGAAAACGAACAGCATTTAATATTGCCTCTACCTATTATGAAAATAAGACGAAATACGTCAATTTACATATCAAGGGGGACAATTGTTGAGGCATTTGTTGTTATATTACTTTCAACCCCCTGACCCCCCAGGGTACCTACCCCATAAAATCCTAAATGGCAACCCCTATTTATTTTACCATTTTTGTGTTCCTTATGTAATTCTAGATAAATTACATTATTATTTTTTTGTCAAAAGTATCTAACCTCACAAATGTGTGGAATCTATTTAATATCTAAATTTAAATAATATAACTTCTTAAAACGGGTTTTATTTACCGCCTTATTACTTAAATTATTGTTCCTACAAATACTATATTCCAAATTCTTTTATTTATTTACATTTTGCCATTACAAAACATGAAATAATTTATCTTTTTGTGCGTCTTCGAACAAACAAGATTCTCATTTTGATTAGTAATATTATTTACAAGTACAGTTTTGTATTTTCTGATTCGTGGGGTTCATTTTATTTATTTCTGCTTCTTCGATTAATGAAATAATATGTGAAAGTTTTTTAAATCATACATAATCAATTTCAATAGTTTTCAATTGTCGTTTCTCAAGTTGTAACCGTTTCTTAAAATGGTTTACACTATAGTGTTGAACGAAATGATTTTCATTTCGGATGTACTTATGCTTGAAACCATTTTGAACAATTCATAAAGTAGTAAGGGTTAGCTTTTTCGTATATCATTATCATACTTTTTTAAGAAGTTTCATTATTCCACATATTTGTGAGGTAAGATACTTCAATTTTAATCCCCTAGGAGTCAGGTGATTAAAAGTAATATGACAACAAATGCCTCAACAATTGTCTCCATTTGCATATAAATTGACGTGTTTCGCCAAATTTTCATACTATCATTAGCAGAGGCAATATTAAATACTGTTCGGTTTTAAATTGACACCCTGTTTATAATATTGTAATGTGAGCCATTTCATTATTCAGTCATGCTCTAATACTCCAAGTCCCTCTCTGTATTATTTGGCCTTTGAGGCTCAACTTGTCCGCTTATTATACATAATTAAACCCCTTAAGACCAAACCTATGGGACGACTATGGTGGATGTGCTTTCGATGATGTTCGAGAAAGAACGAGATAATGTTTCTAGTGTATTGGAGAGAATATGTGAACTTACTAGAACATTCGCCAATTTTTTAAATTTGTATAAATATTGGTGGAAGATCCATCAGAGTTAGTTATTATATGGACAGTGAAGATAAATAGTAATTAGTAGATAGACAGTGGTGAATATAAATAGTGAACAGTTCAAAAACATTCGAAATATATATAAATTAGAATAGTAGTGTAATAAAATAAATAAGTGTTAAAATAAATTATTAATAAACTGTTGTTTTAAAGTAAACAAACATCACAATATATAATATATACCCATACTATTTTTAATAATGAAAATATATTTTACATCTATTTATAAATGTCACACGACTCCTTTTGTTTTACTTGTTCTAATCATAATCTGGCAGTACGTCCCTGGCTAAAATTTGCAGCGTCGTAAATTGACGTATTCAGAAGGTCAGATCGAGCGACGACGCTCACGCTCGCTGTTCATCATACACGGAATTTGTACATGCAAGAGGGCTACGAAAATTTCCGCCTTGCTCCTGTGTAGACACTGTGTAGAGTGTAGACAGTGAATCTGTTTATTATCTTAGCCAGAGTTGCCAATGTGTAGCATAGGATAATTTTCGAATGAAGTAATTTTTCGGATAATTTAGGGTTCTGCAAAATGGCATTAATTCACTTATTAACCAGATTTGCAAACTCTTGTCTCTATTTCAAACAATTTTTTCTCAATCCTCTATGACCCGCCCCTATTTTTGCTATATTTTTAAAATCAGGGAAAGGAGATTATTTAAAAAACTTAATAATATTCAGAGTAACCCATTAGAAATCTGCCCACCACTGTGTTTTTGATGGCATTTTAACAAAATTCAAACACAACCATACGGCTTTCTTAAATTGTATTTGTGTAAAATGTATATCTTTATTTTAGCGGATCTACATTATGCAATAGTACAGTATATTTTGACCCTTCAGTTGGTCCAACTAACTTTACGTGACCAAACCGATTAAAATAAAAGAACATTCCTTAATTGGAATGCAATTCACTTAACTGAAGACGAAACCATTAATATTTGCGATTAATAATCGTAAATTTTACTTAATTTCCCCTGAAGGCTTGTTATTTGGCCCTTTGTTTTTGCTATGGAATAATATTTAACAAAGCTTTGATGTTCGACCATATTACAGGCTGCCAAACAGATTATTTATGAATTCCATGTTAATCACGATAAGTAATTGAATTGATAATATTAGCTTTACTACATAAAAGTGCATATTTATTATAGTTGTCGCCTATTGATTTAAAAAATATCTGAATAATATGGGGGGGGGGTTTAAATAAAAAAAATAGAAATGCAAAAGCAATATTATAATATTAAATGTTCAATATAAATCAAGCTCTATAAGAGAATCAATAAATAAATAAAAATGAGGAGATAAGGGGGGGGGGTTTAAATATTGAAAAAAAAATCCTAGCTCACAACCAGAAAAACGATATCAAATTTTCAGGGAAAATAAAGCTTTATAAGGGGATAAAGTCTATTGATTTTAAAAAAAACATCTGGGAGTTAAGGGGGTCTGTGAAGAGTATAAATATAGAATAACAATCATTATATATTTTCAATCTAGTATTATCTGTATAATTTACATTATTAGGCATCGATAGGTATAAAATATAAATATTATAGTTGTCTTATATATATTGAAATCGAGTTGTACAATTTAATTCTTATATACATATAAATAGATTTTGTTTGTTAAGATTAGTCTATGTTACGGGGTTATTAAAGTTTTTGCTGGACACCCTACCCTGTATAACATTATTAAGTGGCTTGGATATTTATAACGTCTCCGTCACCAAACAATGTAGTAAAGCAGGGCTAATTCAGATATTCCAATTTCGTCAAATATTATGAGCGGTTTCAAAATACTTACCTAGAGACATCCTGTATAGATTTATTAATTATTAAATGTATTTAAATTTTTGGTGTCCTTTTATGACCTTGACTTTCTTTAACTCGAATTAACATCGAAAGGAAGCGATTAGGCAACAGGTGGTGTTGTGCTCAAGCAAAGTAGGTACGTGCCAAATTTAGTTCACAATAAGACGCCCCTAAGGTGGATTCCATTCAATCTCAGCCCTTCTCAAGGTGCTTTCAAGGCTCCCTCGTTTTTCCTTTTCTTTATTTAACTTCCTCATAAAGAAAGAAACACCTGACTACTGATTTCTTATTGTGACAGTTAATTGTGTAAGGTATTGGATTATTACATTATACATTATACATTATACATTACATTTATATACTGTATGTTCCAGAATAGACGGGTCAATAGAAATTTAATTTTATGGGATCAGCCCTGAGTTATTAACGAATGAATTAACAAATGAATTAACGAATGAATTAGTGAATGAATTAACGAATGAATTACCGAATAATTGAACGAATGAATTGAATTAACTAATGAATTAACGAATTAATTAACTATAACACTTAGTATCAAATAAGTTGTGGGTGCGGGTTTAAACAAAGTTCCTTTAGCATTAATAATTTTAATCACTTAACAAAACACAAAACTGACACGAACAACAATGATTATTAAGAATAAACAAATGAATACCGGGTTTAAACAATTATAAAAACACAAGTCTCGACCTGAAGGGAATGAACTCTTAAAAGCTTAAAACAATACTGTCTAATTATGCAATGTCTTTTGGCGTTACATGGATGGCGGCGTTGCCGGCTCTCGCTTATAGCCGATCATCTTGTTACATAACGAATTAATTAACGAATTAATTAACGAATTAATTAACGAATTAATTAACGAATTAATTAACGAATTAATTAACGAATTAATTAACGAAATAATTAACGAATTAATTAACGAATTAATTAACGAAATAATTAACGAATTAATTAACGAATTAATTAACGAATTAATTAACGAATTAATTAACGAATTAATTAACGAATTAATTAACGAATTAATTAACGAATTAATTAACGAATTAATTAACGAATTAATTAACGAATTAATTAACGAATTAATTAACGAATTAATTAACGAATTAATTAACGAATTAATTAACGAATTAATTAACGAATTAATTAACGAATTAATTAACGAATTAATTAACGAATTAATTAACGAATTAATTAACGAATTAATTAACGAATGAATTTACGAATGAATTACTTAAAGAATTGACGAATAAATTAACGAATGAATTAACGAATAAATTAACGAATTAATGAACGAATTAATTAACGAGTTAATTAACGAATTAATGAATTAATTAACGAATTAATGAACGAATTAATGAACGAATTAATAAACGAATTAATGAACGAATTAATTAACAAATTAATCAACGAATTATTAATTAATTAATGAATTATTAATGAATCGCATATTTTAATTTCTCACATGTTAGAAGTTTAGACCGAGATTTAGACTTACACAAATCATAAAGAAAAATAAATAGAGTGAGATCTAAGATTGAATTCTTACGAAATTCCTGATGAGGCACGATATTTGCTGTAACTATAGTCATTGTAAAAAACAAATTATTAAAATATTTATATTACTTAAATATGAATTAAGAAACTGTATGAAATTAAAGTTAAATCCAAATTCTAGTAATTTATTTAATAAAATAAAGTGGAATGATTTACTTTATTGAAGGCCTTTTAGAAGTATGTATAGATCACGTCTACTTGGTCTTATTTATCTAAATCCTATGCACTATCAGCGACTGAACGTTTTCCAAAACGCTTTACATAAGCGCATGTGAAAACTACAGACAGTACTAGAACTAGAAGAAAACGAATAATATCAGCGACCACGTTATAGTGTTGGCCGTATATTTGTAGTTTAGATAAACGTTTACCCTTTAAAGAGGCGTTCTCTTCTCCACTGCTTTATATGTAACCGCACAAGACCCGCTGCACCACATTGCAGCTGGCGGCAGCTTTGTTCTCAGCTAAGGGTGAAAGGTAAAGGGTGTAGGGCACGCGCTTATTGCATCCCTTTGTCCCCCCGTCTGTTCCTCTAGACGAGCCCAAGAGAAGTTTATAAAACTCGTGATAAACTTGCTTTATACCTGTTGTTGATATGGATGAACGAGTTTTAAAACATAGGCGTGGTTGATAGTCTAAAAATGTGGATTAAAGGATAGTAATTAGTTTGCATAATTTATCTAAATGATTCGTTTCCAATTTTGATCTAACCATTTGCAAATGTGCAAGTAATGAAACATTCATACGAAAGATCTAAAGAGAATAATTTGGAAATAATTGTTTTTGCTTTTTGAAAAACCAAAATGCGTTTTTGACCTATATCTCGGTTATTTGATAACATACGGTATTTTAATTTAGACATTCTAGGGGCACTTTTATAAGATTTTTACAACAAAAAATAAAACAAAATAAAGCAAGATAATGACTATAAAGTTTATTTTATTTGAGACCATTAGGCATGAAAATTTGAGTTTTAAATGATAAAAATAATTTATCAAACTAGTTAGTGTGTTGAAAAGATTTTTTTAGCGGCGCTGTTTTTCTTTAGATATAATTCAATGTCTGTTGGTGTATTAGCCAAAGGAGTAGTTGTTTTCTGAAGGGAAACGGTTGTTTGGGTTATTTTTGAAAGGCATTGAAATTTTTATGTTTTTCTTCATGTTATATCTTGATCACACTTGAGTTTCAAATTAATTTTATTTTTGATTTAGTAATATCTTGGTTAACAAAATTACTAGTACAGTCAAAATATTTATAAGAATAATTATCTTCCTATCTTGCTACCAAATAATTTTCAAAGCCTGTTCGTAAAGTTAATCTTTTTGTTTCTAATAATTCCAATGAAATTTCCAAATTGCGTCAAGCTAAAATTTCTATTCATTAACTCGAACAGTTAAATAATCCAATTGAAGGGGTTGAAATGAACACGATCTCCGTATTTTGCATGAATAGTTACAATTACGATCCATTCAGTAAATATTAATTGATAAATCTAATTACGAACGGAGGTACGTCCGTATGTTGATATTTTGAAGTTTACAAATTAATCATTTCTGTAGCATGAAAATCTTATTATGACTCGTCATAATCCATTAATTATTAAAAGATGATAAACTCACTGAAATAAGATATTAATATTTTTATTTATCTAAATTTAACTATTATTTTGTTTTTTTAATATGTTTTGCGTTTTGATTTTATAGAAATTTTAAATCTTTATGAGAGATGTTTAAAAATCGAAAAACAAACAGACTTTTTATTTATCCTTGTCTAGGCCAGGATTTAAATGTACCGTATTGCCAATCCTCTGTATTGAGTTTACCCAATTTTTTTGTCATGGTACTCCCTACCTACTTTGACAAAAAAAAAATAAAATCAATAAATCCTTATTCAGTCCCTATGAACCTTCCTGAACACGTGGTCAAGTTGAAAAACAAAACGCTACAAGTATCCTTGGACGTTTTTGTGTTTTTATCAGTGGCGTAACCTTTGTAATGGGAATTTTTCTAAATATATTATAATTAATTTTAAAATGGAAAATCTTATAAAATTGAAGTGACCAATTTGTTAGTCAACAAAAACTTTGTATATTATGTTTCCATCGAATTCTACAACATATTTCATTACAGTCATAAATTCCGGACATTTGTCTGGTAATGATTTCGTGTGACATAGTTTCGAAATGCTCCTGCTAATATTTTTAAATGGAACAATTTCACCGCAAATTATTGTCCGTATGACACAGAACCTCACTTCTACATTAAAAATCTGATGTGTCCAACACATGACTTTCCTATCTAGTTATTATAGGCTTTTTCGGGTTATTTTGTACAACCTATTGCAGCATCTCTATAAATGTTTAGAGGATAAACTAAATGTATACATTGTCCACATACATCTACCTCGAAACATTTTTCTATAGATATTCATTTAAAACGAAAATACTGAAAAATTTAAATTTAGCACTTTTCCATTACGGTCCATTTTAGAAAAATCATGTAGAAACAAAAATTATAGAGATCGATATCGCAAACAACTTTTAGTTCAACAATTTTCATAAAAATCAGAATTTTGCACATTTTGTCAAATTTCTCGAATACGGACCATTTCAGGAAATTTTGACATAAAACAAAAATTATAGATAATAATATTAGAAGTAACTTTTATTCAAACAATTTTCTTCTCCAAACATAAATAACAGATATATTCCATAAAATATAAAGACGGCCTCCCATGAAGTACCCCCCCAGATGTTCCGACTTTGTCCAAAATCTAATCATTTCACGTCAGGCCGAAATAAACCTAAAGTTTAAAATTTAATGTTTTTTTGTTTATCCGTTTTTGAGTTTTCTTCAAAATTCAAAATTTACAAATTTTCTCAAATATCTCGAATACGGTCCATTTTAGACAAATTATGTATAGAATAAAAATTATAGATAATTATATTACAAACAACTTTTATTTGAACAATTTTTATAAAAAATTATTTTTTTTACATTTTGTCAAATTTTTTGAATACAGACCATTTTAGGAAATTTTTGTATGGAACAAAAATTATAGATAATTATATTAGAAGTAACTTTTATTTGAAGAATTTTCTTCTCCAAACGTAAATAACAGATATATTCCATAAAATATAAAAATGACCACCTATAAAGTACCCCCCAGATGTTCCGACTCTGCTCAAAATCTAATCAGTTCATTAGACGCTGAAATAAAGCTGAAGTTTAAAATTTGGTGTTTTTCTGTGTATCGGTTCATGAGTTATGAGACATACAGAAACACACACACACACACACAGACATCATCGCGAAAATAGTCAAAACGGATTTAGGGGACCTCAAAACGTAAAAATCCGTCGAAAACTCGAGGTCGAAAAAAATCATGATTCCTTTACTTTCCTTATATCTGTATACAGATAGGAAAGTAAAAATGCTTGTACACGTGTTTATATTATATATGTGAAACGTTTTAAAACCTGACGACGTTTTTTTTTTTAAAGTTTGCTACAAGAAGATCATCAGATAGAAGTTTTTGCTTGAAGACTTTTTTTTTAGGAATATGATATTGAAAAAGCTTAATTTTTTAATAAAATTGTCCCCGGAACCTGGCTCTCGGCGGCCATGACGTTATACGAAAAGCTTCTTGTAAAAAATGTAGTGGAGTAGCGAGGCATATTCAAAACAAAATTGTTTCGGGTGTTAACATTATGCATTGTTCTTCTAAAAATTAATTTGTTGCAAAGCTAAGCTGGTGTAGAGGTAAGTAGTATTTTGAAAAGCATCGAAAGGAATAAATATTTGAAGAGATTATTTACATTTAGCCATCTTGTGTTTGAATAAAAGCATGAGAGATATGATCAACTTTTCTAAGACCATTAACGAATCTACAGCATGTGTTTTGCATAATTTGTAACCGATGACGATTTATTGCAGTTAAACACGGGTAGTAAATAATGATACCGTAAGTAACCTTTAAACAAAGTTTCGCTTTTAACGATTTATTTCGAAGAATGAATCTGTTAGAGTAATCTTAATGCACCATAACATTTTTGTAGCATTGAATTGACATGTTTATTGATAAGTAAAGGCCTAGGTTTTTTGCTTCGGTTACATACGGAATAATTTCCTCAGATATTCTCAAAACTGCCTTAGATGTTATTTGAAATTTTATTTTTTTATGACAAAAAATCATTAATTTAGACTTGGATGCGTTAAGGAATACTTATTTATTTCATTTAAGTCATGATTTATAATATTCATGGTACTATCACTTTCATGAAAATAAAAATCTCGAAAAATCTAAGGTTCATCAGCAAAAAATTGTATAGCGCAATTATTAACCTGTTTGTATAAGAAACAAAAGTGGGCTCAAGGCAGAGCTTTGAGGTACACCAGATTCAATATGAATCGAAGAAGATATTTTACCATCCACTAGCATCAACTGAGTGCGGTTAAGCAAATAAGTTTTTATAAAATTAAGAGACGTATTATCAAATTCATAATAGGAGCACTTAGCTGCCAGAAGTTTGTGATTTAGCGTGTCGAATGTCTTATTAAAGTCCAAAAGAATCAGGATACCAGCTTTTCCATTATCAATGCTCCTGATAATGGTATCAGATAAATTAGCAAGGGCAGTTGAAGTGCTAAAATCTTTTTGG